AGATCACATCACAACAAACAGCCCTTCTCCCTGCGGTCAAATCCACAGGTTTTTCATCATCTTCTATTACAGTGGTAACAATTCCTGAAGTCATTTCATCCACTGACACCATTGTCCTATGGGATTTTGTGGTACTGAGATCAACTACTCCACTCTCCATCGGTTCACAAGCAGTGCCAACATCAGCCCAAACACTGGTTACACCCACAGGAGGGACAGTCACCAGCTTTTTAGAAGCCCAGGTCACTGGAGTACCTAGGCAAAGATTTATGGCAACTTATTCTGCCTGCAGAGAGTGCCTGGCTACTGGCTGCTCTAGATCCAAGTTCAAAATGTTGTGATGTTAGCTGCAGTGGAGTAGTCATTGCATGTCCAAGGTCTACAAGACTTTCTGAACTAGAACTATAGCTTACAGTAGCCGTGCAGGTTACTATTGTAATTGTTTCAGTAACTGGAGCTAAAGAAGGCTCTGCTGTTGATGCAGTGCTGAGATTTATTATAGCTGGTTGAATAGTGCTTAATGGCCGTCCAGATACATCACTTGCCATGGTTTGCCGTCTTACATCAATGGGAGCAGCAGATAGATCCATACAGCTGTCCGTCCTTTCAAAATCCATTTTAGTCAAAGTGCGAAGATCAATGACATCACTAAAGAGATGGAATCTTCCATTTTCTCTATATCTGGATGGATCTACTAACTGTGCCGGTTCTGGCGGTATAGTTATGGAAACACCGCCAAAACCAGAACCTTTGACCAAAGACACTGAAGTTCTGGCAACCTCTGTTGTTATTAACTGTGTTGCTGAGCTAGGGACTATTTCAAAAATTGAGCGGGCAGTGATAGGAATAGCAGGAACAAACTGATCAGTTGTGCTTTGAATCTGCAGAGCACTGATGGATGGAATAAATAATGGTTGCACATTCAGTGGCACCTGTTCCTTAGGGGGTGATCCTGAAGGCCAACTAATAATTGCCTGGCTGGTAATGGACTCAGTTGGAGTTCCAGGCTCAGAGGGCAATGTGATAACAACATAGGTTTCCTGAGTAGGTTTTGACAGCCTTGGTGAAGATTTGTTTGAATGTGGAGACAATGGTGACGTAGGGGATGTCAACTTGTACTCAGCTGGGGAAACCAAGTTCAAAGACATACCACTAGCTAAAGACAAACCTACCGGCTTGGGCTGCACTTCTGCTGGTTTGTGAACATTTGTTGGCAACTGAGGAACTGCTGGTTTGGGAGCAATAGGAGGCTTAATTATTTCAGGAGGTCTGTGTGTGAACACAAGTCCTGATGGAATTGAGGCTGGCTTAGGAGGAACAGGAGGGGGTATGGATGTATATATCCTTGTGACAAGTGTCCCATTGGTTTTTATGGCAGAAGTTGTCTCTACTGATTTGACACTGCTGACAGATGGTGCTATGGTCAGAGCTGTTGTCAGTGGAGCCTTAGCCAGTGGTTTCCTTTTAGGATAAAGCGCTGGCTTAGGCAGAGTAGGTGGTGGAGGTGGGGGGGGAGGGGGAAGAGGGGGAGGTCGAGAGGGTGGAAGAGAAGATGGCTGAGCAGGAGAGTCTAAAGAAGAACTTCTGACAAATGAGAATGTTTTGGATGCAACAGTGGGAAATGGTGAAACTGCAGATGGCAATGTAGGCACAGTAGAAGTAAAGGAGGATATTATTGGTGTTGGCTCTGTAGAATGAGCTGCAAATGTAAATTTTTCATCAGGTATAGAATCTGTTAAAGCTGTCCTTGATATCTTGATAGCAGCTGTTTTCTGTTCCTCTTCATACAGCTCCCTCAACACCTTAGGTGTGATCACATCTTTTCTAGTTTTGTCTTCTTTGGATGAGACGGTTTCCATAGCAACTGAGACAGGTACAACAGGTCTGGGTTTTGTATCTATATATGTTGCTGTGATGGATGCAACTTCAGGCAAGGAAACCTGATCTACATGTGCTGCATCTTCAGCTAAAAATGCCTTCTTAGGGAATAACACAGCAGATTCAGAGTACTCTTTTGTAGAAGTTATGGGAACCTGGTTCACTGTACTTGTCCTGTCAGAATCTGATAACTTGCTTACAGTATCTACAGTTTCTCCATAGCCTAAAGTCATTCCATCTGGTCCAGCCACAGGAGAAGAACTACCAGTTGTGTAAACTGAAGATGTGGATGATGTGAGGGATGATGCATCTGAAGGTAAAACGGATGCAGCACTTTCTGAGGCTTCTGAGTATGTCAGTATGGATGCCTCATGGGAAATAACTTCTTCAATCTCCTGGGCATAATCTGTGAGGTATTCATCTTCTATTTCATCAGCTGTAAAGTGCTGAGTAATTCTGACATCTGGAATAGGAAGCGCTACAGAACTCAGTGAAGGTCTATCTAAAACTGCTGAAGGAGTACTTGATGTCGATGACATGGTATCTGATGCTTTCCCAGATGTCTTTGTATCTGAGGGAAGAATTAATTCAGGTGACAGCTGAGTGGGACTGGAGCTTGGGCTCAATTGCATTCCTTGTTGCTTCATAAGCTCCTCATAAGTGGCATCTGCATCTAACAACTGCTTTTCATCACTTGAAGATGGTGCCTCACTCTCCAAAACAACTATTTCATGACTTTCTGGCATGATGTAAGAGCTACACACAATGTCTTCTTGAGATATAACAGTATGCAGTGATTCTATGCTATAATACTCTTTCTGTACATCTATAGATTTTTGTATAGGCCCTCCATCTAGCTGACCAAGAGGCTTTGTTTTCTTGTCTTTATCTCTCTGTTGGCTAAATTCATCATTCTCATTCTGTTTTGCAATAAGACTAGCCTCAGGAGCCCCACTGTAGGTATCTTCTACCAAAGATTCATAAATATAGTCCTCTATTAGCATACCACCATATAAGGGCTCTTTTTCAAATACTTCATCTTTTTCACAGACATCTGCAAATTTCTGGCCTTTATGAGATGTGTGCAGCATTTCTTCATACACTTCTTCAGCACTTTTTAAAGTCTTTAGACCACTGTTTTCTGTAACAATCTCAAGCAGCTGATCTTCTGTAGGAGAATATAAAGAGACAGATGTAGGCAATTTATACACTTTTTGAACTTCTATTATTTTTTCAGGACTGATTTCAAAGGCTTCAGGATCTGATTCAATACTTGGTGAATATTCAGAGCAGGAAGACCGATGTAGTTCCTCCATTTCTGCTGCCTGACGCAGTTCTTCTGTTGGGGAAGCATCCTCAATTGGAGAAAGATTACTTGGTGGTGTCTTTGGCCGTTCTCTTCTTCTCTGGGCTCTGAGCTCATCCTTGTCTTTCTTAGATTTTTTGCTAGAGCTCTTTCTTTGCTGCTGCTCTAGCTCACGTTGTTTTTCTTGCTCTTTTAACAGTTCTTCCTCCTCCCTGAGCTCCTCTTCTTCTGAAGAGTCTTCAATAGTTGGAAGAAGAGGACCATGTGTTCGATGTCTGGCTTTACGATGCTGTTTACTTTCTCCTCCCATTTTTTTGTGACTTGGACTACTGTCACTGTCTTCATCGAGCGATGATACAGATGTAGGAGAAGTGCCTGGAGTGAAACTGGAGGCATGCAGACTAGAAGACCCTTCTCCTCGGGACCTATCTTCTGGTGAATCTGTAAGACTCTCCATCTCTAACTCCGGTTCTTCATCAAAATACATACTCCTCTGTGGTTGTTCAGATTCCTCAGAATATTTATTTGCTATTGTGCTGTTAAGTTCTATAGTTTTGAAACGACGGAGGCCTCCTCTTGTGGTTTCTTCACTGTCTTGACTTTTTGTTTCCCTAGATTTTGATTCTGGACTTTCATCAAAAGTCTCATCATCATCATCATCACCATCATCATCTTCATCATCATCATCATGCCAGGAATGGCGCCTACTGGCATCCTCTTCATAGCCTATGCTACTTTTGCGCATTAACCTCTTATGTTTTCCTGCTGTTCCCTTTTTACTCTTCACTTCTTCCTTTATTGGGCTTTCATTTGCACTGATTTCCTTCAGCTGATTCCTGATGAATTTGTCATCTTCAGATCCTGAAGCGTCTTCATCTGCACTCATTTCCAAGATCTGTTTTCGAATTAATTCTTCTTCATCACCTGAGCCTGGACTGTCTTCTGGTTTATATTCATCACTGCTGGAAGAGCCAACACTAGTCTGTCTTTTTCTCTGTGGAACTGGTGAATTCTCACTTTCACTGCTATCTTCTACAGAGTCATAGCGTTGCCTTCTTGTTGATGCATCTTCCATTGTACTTGCCATTTGCTTGTACTTCTTCTGAGATGGTATGCTTTGTTTACCATCTTCTGCAGGAGTTCTTCCATTTTTCCCTTGGATTTTTGGCATCATTAAATCTTCATCATCTGAACTGCAGGATTCTAGTGCAACAGGCAGAGGCTTTGTTTTGTGTGTGTGTTTTGTCTGTTCAGCATAAACACCAGAAAGGACTTGTGGCTTTTCAGTTTTCTCTTCAGCAATGCTACAAGCTTGAGCTTCCAAAATTGACAAGACAGTGCTTTCTAGCTTAGCAAGATCAGATGGACTTGTTGGGCTACTCTCTTGTGAAAGTGTTTCTTCTTTATAAGGTTCTTTCAGCATATCCTTTTCATCACTTGTGATAAGACTAGGAATTTCACCAAGTGAACTTGATATCCCATCCGATGAGTATCCTGTGTCACTAAAGCCTTGTGGACTTCTTTGTTGCTGTGAACTCGATGTGTCTGATTTGTTGTTTTCTTTTTCCTAATAGATGAAATAAACACAACATATTCAGACTCAAGGAAATTATAAAACAGTAAGACTCACTAAAAATAATACAGGTGTTCATGATAAAGGGTTATTATAATAAGAGTCAGGTTAAACTTGAAGTGGGAATATGCACTGATCTTATGTTAGTACATAACATGACATTTGAATAGTTACTTTCCCCATCTAGATATATAAAAGGCTAGCCGTGTTCCCAACGACTCACCTTCTACCTGATTAGGCCAGCCTTTCAAGGTCATTTGCATAGGTGAGCTGATTGAGCCTCGCTCTGTTCTGTACATCATCCTCCCCCCCATAGACAGTCAACACAGAGGTTGTTTGCATATGCTGCCTGATTGGCCCTCACCTTCAACATTCTAAACAGTTTTCTGTTGCTGTTGGGAGTCATTGAATGTATTCTGAGGTAAAATACATCTCCCAATCTTCCCCTAAATATTAACTGGGGTTGCCAATCTCCCTGTGGGGCCTGGAAATCTCCCAGAAATCACTGTGGTCCACAGCCACAGCACATCATTTTCCCTACAGAAAATTTCCCAGCCATTACAACTGATATCCAGATGACCAAGATCAGTTCTCCTGCAGATAATGGCTGCTTTGGGTAATGAACTATATGGCATTATACCCTGCTGAGGTCCCTCCCTACAGGCCATGGCTGGGTGGTTCAGGCGGAGCCGGCTGAAGCTGAACCCGGCGAAGATGGAGGTCCTGTGCCTGGGTCGTGGTGGTATGGGATTGGGGCTCCCACTCCTGGCCTTCGATGGGGCACCTTTGGTGCCAGCTTCAGAAGTTAGGAGTTTGGGAGTGCTCCTGGACCTCACCTTAACGATGGAGGCCCAGGTGGCAGCCACTGCCAAAGCAGCCTTTTATCATCTACGGCTGGTGTGGCAGCTGGTCCCCTTCCTTAGCCACGGATATCTGGCCACAGTGATCCATGCGACGGTCACCTCGAGGCTAGACTACTGCAATGCTCTCTACATGGGGCTACCTTTGTCGCAAATTCGGAGGCTGCAGCTGGTGCAGAATGCGGCGGCCAGGTTGTTGGCGGGGTTCCCTAAATGGGATCACATCCAACCTGTGCTGAAAGCGCTGCACTGGCTGCCTATAGCGTTCCGGATTCGCTTCAAAGTGCTGGTGCTTCCCTTTAAAGCCCTATATGGCCAGGGTCCGGCATACCTGAGGGACCGCCTTTCCCCATACAGGCCCCAAAGAGCACTTTGGTCGGGGTCACAACACTGCCTAGTGACCCCGGGTCCTAAAGAGGCCAGGCTTGCTGCCACAAGGGCCAGGTCCTTCTCGGTGGAGGCTCCTACCTGGTGGAATGAGCTCCCGTGGGAGATCAGGGCCCTGTGGGACCTCTTACAGTTCCGCAGGGCCTGCAAGACAAAGCTCTTCCACCAGGCTTTTGAGTAGGAGCCGCTGCCACCACCACCATTGAGTAACTGCAGAGCAGGACCGCTGGGTTGGGCCGACTGGCCACTTGGAACATCTTGGCCCATGGCATCCCCCCTCTTTGATCGCACCGCGATATACAATAGGTAGTGAGTATTTTAGTTCCTAATGTATCCTGCAAGATGCGAGTTTTTGTTTTAATTGTTTTAACTTGTCCTATTTTTATTGCACTTGGTGCCTTAACTGTTCTAATCTTGTTGTATTTTATTGCACAGTTGTGCCTATGTAAGCCGCCCTGAGCCCGCTTGCAGGGAGGGCGGGATATAAGTGAAATAAAATAAATAAATAAAATAAATACCCCAAACCCTGCCATCCCCAGGCTATACTCCTCAAATCTACAGGTATTTCCCAACCCAGAGTTCGCAACCCTGTAATTGGCTACAGAACTGCTTTCCAGAAAACATGGCATAGGAGGAGGTGCTTTTCTACCTTAGCTGAAACTGCATAACCCCAAATCAACACAAGCCAACCTCGAGGACAGCCCTGCTTTATAGTTAAGCAGAAGGAAATAAACATGACTTGCTTCCCTCTATTTTCCCCTTCCCTCCGCTGCCTCACCAGCCACAGCTGGGACACTCGCCTGGAGCTTCTTTCTAGAGCTCATTGTATTTCTTCCCACAACGGGACTTACTCTTAGTTCAATATAATTATGCTTCATGCCAAAAATCCAGAGACTATTAATTTTGTCATGATTTTTATGCTACGAATCTAGTAAACACTATTTTCAAGGCATTTCTAGAACACTTTAATTATGTCCTGGTGGTTATGATCACTGCCAAATTATTAAGAATATCTAGAGACAGTACAAATATTCAAGTTGTAGCCAGTTTATGAAGAAATCTGCCAGCAATGTGCAGCAATGGCATTCTAAATGCTGAAGAGCCACAATCAAGACCCAGCTTAGTTCTGATCAAACATCAAATTACAGGAAACCCCAGGGACCATTTTTTGTTTAAACGGCTAATAACAGTGGGGGCAAGGCAGTTTGATTAGAAAACCCCTCTCACTTCCCTTGTTCTCCCCACATGACCCCACTCTAAATAAGGACCCTGCACAGCTGTAATTTAGATTTCAAAGGTGAACAGAGTAAAAGAGGGAGGTAAAAGAGGGAGGGTGGAAGACCTTGGTAGCTTGGTGAGTAAAACCTGGGCTCAGACTGTCTTTTGCTTTCAGGTACATAGCTTGTATACGACCAGAAGAGACAATACCTTGGCTCTTAACCTGGGACCTGTGTTAGGCAGCCTGGTAAACCAGGACCAATCTAAGATGTTTGTTTAAATTATATTAATTGTTGAAATTGGTTGTTAAACTGTATTTTGGTATCTTTCTGTGAGTTGCTTAGGGTCCCTTGGAAGAGGGGAGTGGCATACAAATCCTTCCTAGAACTAATGGAAGGGCAGCAAAAAAGATAAATGCTAGTGCTGTCACAGTGTGGAGACAGATTGCAACTTCACTTGATAAGTGTTCATCACTGGCATTTTGTGCCATTCCCTTCATATTCCCACTGGACAGGCAGCCATTCCCTGGGGAAGTCTCAGTTGAGAACTCCAGAACTGTGGTGGGATCTGTCTTTTTGACCTAACATCTCACAAGCCATGAATACAGAAGGGAAGAGAGCTATTGCTGATCATTTTTTTCCTTTGGAACAGACGTCCAGACACAAAGGTCAGAAGAATAATGCCTTTTCATTATTCCCTGTGCCATTAAACCAGAGAAGGAGATGGTAACTTGTGCAGCAGTTTGCACAGGACATTACAGGGACAGATAGGGTTGCCAAATGGCACCGGGGGGCGGGGAATGGCCCGCTTTGATGGCCCGCTTTTCGACGCGACAAAAATCGGGCCCGGGGGAAACCCCACCCCCGCGTGTGCGTCACCCGGAAGTGACGTCGCCCCCAGCGTGCGACGTCACTTCTGGGTGACGCGCACGCGCACACCCAGACGCCGGCCGGGAGCCCCCTGCTCCTGGCCAAAAGAGATTTGGCAACCCTAGGGACAGAGATGGATGTGTGAGTGACTCCTTTTAGCCCAGTGGAAGGGCTAAACTTGGGGGCCAGGTAGGGTTGCCAGCTTCCAGGTGTGGCCTGGAATTATAACTGAATCCCATACAGAGCTCAGATCCCCTGAAGCAAATGGCTGCTTTGGAGGGTGGATTCTATTGTATTATAGCCTGCTGAGATCCCTCCCCTCCCCAGTTCTCACCCTCTTTAGGCTCTACCCTAAAATCTCCAGGAATCTCCAAACCCGGAGCTGGTAACCCAGGGGTGAGGCTTATGGATTTCAATAAAGGCTTTCTGTCTTTCCCTTTATAATTTAAGCACTGGCCAAAGGTTCACTATATCTTATCTTAAACAATAAGTGGGTCCAGATATTTTTAAAGTCTTTAGCAAGATTTCTTTACAGTCTTCTTGTTCCGTTGCCCTAGCTTTATGTTTCATTATTTGTCAGAAACAACAGTTTTGAAAAAGTGCATGGAATAAGTAACACGGTTCATTGTTATGCCTGTTTGGTACACTTCAGTCTAATGTAGCAAATTAACGTGATGACTACTCATTGTATTGCATCAGCAAACCTTGTATGACTACCTGAGGGACCGCCTTTCCCCATACGTACCCCAGAGAGCACTGCGATCAGGGATCCAGAACCGACTGATCCCCCCGAGCATTAAGGAGGCCAGGCTGGTGACGACCAGGGCCAGGGATTTTTCGGTGGAGGCTCCACTCTGGTGGAATGAGCTCCCAGAGGAGACCAGGGCCCTGCGGGACCTTTCACAGTTCCACAGGGCCTGTAAAATGGAGCTCATCCGCCAGGCCTTTGGAGCCGCCACCACAACCATGACTGATACCATCCCGATCACCAGTGCCACTGGTAATGGCAACTGATACTGCATGGCGAAGAGCCTTGATCCTATGGACCCTAGTTTCATCCCATGCCAATTCCCCCTCTTTTTTATGACATCTGAAGCTGCCTTTATGACATCTGAAGCTGCTTGACATCTGAAGTCCGATCAGCGCTAATGGATAAGACTAGCACTTTATTATTATGGTTTTTATGTTAATGTTATTGATGCTATTTATGTATTTGGAATTTTATTTGATTGTAAGCTGCCCTGAGCCGGCTACGGCTGGGAGGGCGGGATAAAAGTTTAATAAATGAATAAATAATAATGTTCATCCAAAAAAGCTTGTACCAATGCAGCCAAGCTAAACACTGAAGTCCCACATTCCAGCTATTTTAAGCACATGCTATCTAGTAAGATATATGGGAATTAAAAATCATTAAATTGGATGGGGTGATTCCCATTCTTTCTCGGATCTATTGCAAGGTTATTCTGTGGAACTGGTAGAAGCTAGAAGAGTAAAATTAAAACTTACTGCTTTTCCTTTTAGTGCTTCAATATGATCAGGCTTTGCTAATGGTATTGCTGGAACTGAAATTTCTTTTTGAGATTTCTGATCTTTGGAGTAGGTCTCTGGAATCCCTATGGTTGAATCCTCCTTTTTAATGTCTTCCTTTTTTCTTGTTCCTTCAGGCACTTTGGCTTCTAACTTCTCTTCGGCTCCACCTGTCACTAGTTCAAGCTTGGTCTCAGGGAAGTGGGGGATGTCATGCAAGAATGGAGACGTGGAGTCATCCTCCACTGTTTTAGCCGGTTGAGCCTCATCAGTACTTGACTTGGAAGAAACTGGACCCACCACAGGCATATTTACTCGTTTTACCGGCAGAAATTTCAGATCGTCCAGTTGAAGCTGATCAGCAGAGGATGCCTTCACTATTTTTCCTTGCGGTCGTTTTGAGTCATCCTTCCAAATCTGATCAGCAGATGGTATTTTACCCAGTTTTGCCTGCTTCAATGCTGGAGCTGGTCTCTTAAATTCACTGGTAGATGGTACTTCCGCCAATTTTTCTTCCTGGTTTTTCAAATTTTCCTTTTGAAACTGCTGTACAGTCTTATCAGCAGGTAAAGGTTTTGCCTGTTTTCCCTGCTGGATCTTTGTCTCCTCCTTTTGAACATGATCAGCAAATGGTTCTTTGGGCAGTTTCACGTGCTGAAGATTTATATCATCCTTCTGAATTTGATCACCAAATCGTGGCTGGGCAACTTTCGGCTCTTGATTTCCTTTTTGAGCTTTTTGGGGTGACGGTGTCTTAGCCAGTATTACTTTCTGAAATTTATCAGATGGTGACATTTTTGCCAGTTCATCTGGTATCTTATCTGCAGATGGCCTTATGTGTTTTAGCTCTTCCTTTGGAATTTGATCAGCAGAAGGAGACTTTGCCAATTTTAACTTCTGAATTTTTAAATCATCTTCTCGAATGATCTGTGTGATTTTATCAACTGATACTGTTTTTCCCAATTTTTCTTGAGCTGTTAAATGTTCTTTTTCAACAGTCTCTTGTACTTTATCAGCAGAAATGTCCTTTGTTAATTTTTTCTGTTGAAGTTTTGGATCTTCCTTCTTAATTTCTCGGGATTCTTTTGACTTTTCCAGTACCTGAGAAGGTCGTGCTGTAGCCTTTTGCTGGGAAGATGACTCAGCAAGCTTAGGCTGGCTTAGAACAGAGACTGATGGTTTTGGTGATGATTTTGAAAGTATAGGAGGTGTCAACTGTCCCATATCCCCGAGTTGTCCTGTTAATGCTCTCTGTGTCTGGCAATTTAAGCACAGCCATTCTTGTACCTATAACATAATAAATAGGATTAAATTAAATTAATCATACACATAGGATTAAAATTGTCATATTATACTTACAGTTGAAAACAGGATTTCAACTTTACAAGTCACAATTTCATTGGTTGTGATGTGAAATGTATAAATCTTCTAAAACCAATGTATAAATCTTCTAAATGTATAAATCTTCTAAAACCAATGCCAAAATTGTTCAGAATATAATAGCCACTCTCTCTGAAACTGTAAATTAGCACCATCCACTGGTTTAAAAAGTAACAATTTTCTGACTTTTCAGTTAATCAGCATGAATAGCTATGCAGACTTCCAAAATCTAAGTACAGGTGGCTTTTCAAGGATACTGATACCAGCAATGAAAGAAAGCAATGAAGAAATAATAAAGAAAAGCTTCTACATGCTGTTAGGACAGGCCATATTGCATTTTTTAAAAACTATCTTTTATCCTAAAATGATATGCAAAGTGGTGTTTGACTCTCCCCTTCTTCCTTCCAGAAATTCAAAAAACTCATGATGGCAAGAAAATGGTTTTAATTTAATGATTTTCACGGAAACACAAGAAACAGTATTTGATTATGGATTCAAAGGCAAGCTCGGGCAACACAGCTCAGTACTCTTTTTTCTAAAGCAGGGCAAGGCAGTAATTACTTTGCAAAAACATGGCACCAAAGAATCATCTTGCTTGGTTTTGAAAGATGAATTCTGCTAGTGCATCTCTCACCCTTTTACCTTGCTCTAGGCATCTCTGGTAAGCCTGCCTGTGGCTCCCCACCACCTCTTCCTCTGGGATAAGAATAGTTTCCTCCTCCCCCAGATATAATAGGACCTCATTACTCCTCATCTCACATATATTATGAAGTATCACAGGCGGCAACTACTGATGTTACATTTTCAATTAAAACAGTGAGCTGCACCAACAAATACCTCCAGCGGGCTTTCAGGCATGCAAAACCCCTCTCCATGATATTGAATGGGCAGCATAGCCTCTGGTTGTATTCCCTCTCCCTAGGGAACACTGGCATTTTGAACGGCTTCATAAGCCTCAGTCTCAGAGGGTAAGCCCCATCCGCTGTCATGAGTGCTGACACACTAACACCATGAATTGTGATGGTGGGGTTTCCGAGCACATATAAGTTGGCATCCATTGCTGTGCATAGGTTGGAGTTTGCAAACGTAAAAGCATCATTTGTTCTCCAACTCCAACCGACCTCTGCATCTATAGACCTGCCATTGTGATCCACAGCACCCTGCAGAAGTACAGATAGGGTTGCCAAATGTGAATCGGCCGGGAGCGGGGGACTCCCGGCTGGCATCTGTTGCGTGCGCATCACAAAGAGTTTTCCCCTCAAATGGCGTGGCCCCTCCCCCAGCGTGTGACATCACTTCCGGGTGACGCGCACGCGGGGGTGGGTTTTCCCCCGGGCCCCGATTCCGGCGCGCCGGGAATCGGGGCTCCGAAACGGGGGATTCCCTGCCCCCCGGCTGCATTTGGCAGCCCTAATTCTGTTCCCATACTGATCAATCTTCCTTCCTGGAGCTCTGATAGTAATATGTGTGCCATCAATGTCACCAACATAGTGTGGGAATCCCAGTCTTGTGAAGCCATCCATTAGCTATACAGAAAGACATCAAAAAAGAAGTAAATGTGTGTCCCATGATCTTAAGAACATAAGAACATAAGAGATGCCAATGTTGGATCAGGCCAAGGCCCATCCAGTCCAACACTCTGTATCACACAGTGGCCAGAAATACCAGTGCCATCAGGAGGTCCACCAGTGGGGCCAGGACATTAGAAGCCCTCCCACTGTTGACCCCCCCCCAAGCACCAAGATGACAGAGCATCACTTGCCCCAGAGTCCCTATCTATACCTTGTGGCTAATAGCCACTGATGGACCTCTGCTCCATATGCTTATCTAATTCCCTTTTGAAGCCGTCCATGCTTGTAGCTGCCACCACTTCCTGTGGCAGTGAATTCCAAGTGTTAATCACTCTTTGGGTGAAGAAGTACTTCCTTTTATCCGTTCTAACCCGACCGCTCAGCAATTTCATGGAGTGCCCACGGGTTCTTGTATTGTGAGAAAGGGAGAAAAGTACCTCTTTCTCTACCTGCTCTTTCCCATGCATAATCTTATAAACCTCAATCATGTCACCCCTCAGTCGTCGTTTCTCCAAGCTAAAGAGCCCTAAGCGCCTTAACCCTTCCTCATAGGGAAAGTGTTCCAACCCTTTTATCATTCGAGTTGCCCTTTTCTGCACTTTTTCCAAAGCTATAATATCCTTTTTAAGTTGTGGTGACCAGTATTGCACACAGTATTCCAGATGAGGTCGCACCATTGATTTATATAGCGGCATTATGATATTGGCTGATCTGTTTACAATACCCTTCCTAATAATCCCCAGCATAGCATTGGCCTTCTTTATTGCAGTCACACACTGTCTCGACATTTTCAGTGAGTTATCTACTACAACTCCAAGATCTCTCTCTTGATCTGTCTCTGCCAGTTCAGACCCCATCAACGTGTATTTATAGTTAGGATTTTTGGCTCCAATGTGCATCACCTTGCACTTGGCCACATTGAACCCCATTTGCCATGTTGACGCCCACTCGCCCAACTTTGACAGATCCCTTTGGAGTGCCTCACAATCCTCACTGGTTTTCACCACCCTGAACAACTTCGTATCATCCGCAAATTTAGCCACTTCACTGCTTACTCCCAACTCCAAATCATTAATGAACAAGTTAAAAAGCAGTGGACCAAGTACTGATCCCTGTGGTACCCCACTGCTTACACCCCTCCACTGGGAGAACTGCCCATTTATACTCACTCTCTGTTTTCTATTAATTAGCCAGTTTTTGATCCATAAAAGGACTTGTCCTTTTATCCCATGATTTTTGAGCTTGCTTAGGAGCCTTTGATGAGGAACTTTATCAAAAGCTTTCTGGAAGTCAAGGTAAACAATATCTATTGGATCCCCCTTGTCCACATGTTTGTTCACCCCCTCAAAGAACATTAACAGGTTAGTGAGACAAGATCTTCCCTTACAGAACCCATGTTGAGTCTGCCTCAATAGGTTTTGTTCATCTATGTGCCTACTAATTCTTTCCTTAATAATGGTTTCCACCAATTTACCCGGTATCGACGTCAGACTGACTGGCCTGTAATTTCCCGGATCTCCTCTGGAACCCTTTTTAAAGATGGGAGTGACATTAGCTACCTTCCAGTCCTCAGGAATGGAGGCTGATTTTAAGGAGAGATTACATATTTTTGTCAGGAGATCCACAAGTTCACAATTGAGTTCTTTCAGAACTCTTGGATGTATGCCATCTGGGCCTGGTGATTTATCAGTTTTTAAGTTGTTTATCAGTTTTAGGACCTCCTCTCTCGTCACCTCAATCTGACTCAGGTCTTTCAACACCCCTCCTGAAATCAGTGGTTCTGGAGTGGGCAAGCACTTCTCATCTTCCACAGTGAAGACGGAGGCAAAAAATGCATTTAGCTTCTCAGCCATTTCCCTATCATCCTTCAGTACTCCTTTTACCCCTTGGTCATCCAAGGGCCCCACTGCCTCCCTGGCTGGTTTCCTGTTTCTAATGTATTTGAAGAAAGTTTTATTGTTGGTCTTTACATTTTTTGCTATATGCTCCTCATATTCCCTTTTTGCATGCCTGACCACAGACTTGCATTTTATTTGCCATAGCCTGTGTTCTGTTTTATCAGCCTCACTGTGACTAGCTTTCCACCGCTTAAAGGAATCCTTTTTACCTTTTACAGCTTCCATTACTTTGTTTGTTAACCATGTAGGCTTTTTCGTATACCTGTTTGTGCGTTTCCTAACCTGCGGAATATATTTTTTTTGAGCTTCTAGAATCGTAGTTTTAAATAGTTTCCAAGCTTCCCCAATGGTTTTGACCCTTTCTACTTTTCCCTTCAGTTTCCTCCCCACATGTCCCCTCATATCAGAAAAATTACCCCTTTTAAAGTTAAAAGTGGTTGTGTGAGTCTTTTTGGCCAATTCCCTTTTTGTACAAATGTTGAACTCAACAACATTATGATCACTGTTCCCAAGCGGTGCAATCACTTTTACGTCTCTCACCAGGTCTTGAGTGTTACTTAGGACCAAATCAAGGATCGCCTCTCCCCTGGTAGGTTCCGTGACCATCTGCTCCATAGCACAGTCATTTAGAGTGTCCAGAAAATCAATCTCTTTCTCTCGACTAGAACACATATTGACCCAATCAATGTGTGGGTAGTTAAAATCACTTATCTTTAAATAATCAATACAAATACACCACAAATGCAATTGCTGAACATACCAATGTTAATAAAACCACAAGTGCTGCCCATTCCAATGTTTTATCTACAGCATTGTGACAGAACTCCAATGTCAAATTAAAAAAAATTAAAAATCATTACCTTGAAAACCTCTTTGCCCAAGCAGATGACCTTCATATACAACTCTGCCTCCATTGCAAAGCACGCCTCAAGGACTATTTCTCCAACCGTGGACACTCCAAGACCAAACTGATGGCTGACCTCCCAATATGTATTTGCATTAGCTATGTACCACAGGCATACTGCAACTTTCTTCTCCATGGTCACTGGGGCATGCATTTTGGTTGCCTTGCACTCCAGCTTCAATCTAAAAATCCCAACAATCTCCATAAAAGTGGGATGGGTCATTCTGAAATTGGAAAGCCACTTCTTGTCACTCCAGACCCTAAAACAAACTTCTCCCACCAGTCTGTACTTCTAGGGAAAACCCAGTAACGCCTCAGAAATTGAAGTGCAGTGATGGCATGCCATGCCTCCTGGTACCCATGGCATTGTCTAAGCCTGTTACTCCCCACACTGAGATGCTTGTGTGCCATGGAATGCTCCCTGGTGCAGATGAGTCATTTCCTCCTGCGCAAACCATTGCAATAGGCAGAGCAGGCATTAATGGAGGTCTGGAAGCACAGAAGCACTATTTGGAAAAAAGCAAAATGCAAAGC